GTTTACATGGAACAATGGGAGTACCTTTTTCTTTTGTTTTACTTAATGGTCGGTTGCTGCGCACCGTCATGAGCGAATTGTTTTCCCTCTTGATTGCTTCTGTTGCCTACACGCGGTACAGGCCCCACGGCTGTGCGTTCCACGGACGACACAAAAGGAGGAGTGGAGAGACAGGCCGGATGCCGCATGAAATGTGAGGGATGTTGTGTGGGCTTGTGGAACAGTAATTTTTTTTCCTTGTGCAGGTACTGTACGCATGTACATACAAACACAGTCCTGCTTTGCTGCATGGCGTATGAAATGATGATTCTGCTGAAGTGTATTTTTTTTTTTTTTTGAGGAGGAGACTCCCGTTGGACACTCAACTACTTTTTTGTTTTGGTATTCCTTTTTTACTTCTGGTGTGCAGGTCAGTGTGCGTTCCTCTGCAGGGCTGCTGCCGTTGTTTACTGTGCGTGTTACTTTGTGATTTGTTTTTCCTTTCCATTTCACTCTGCGTTGACGTGTTGTTATTTTGTGCTGAAGGCCACACGCAAGTGACAGGAGTGATGGCGATGATGATGACTGGCCGTGTGCTGCTGGTGTGTGCCCTCTGCGTGCTGTGGTGCGGTGCCGGCGGTAGATGTGACGAGGAGAAGAGGGCAGGTCTTGGAAGTGGTCCTGAAGCTCTGCCGGAATCACAAGGACTTGAAGCGTCTCTACAAGTCAAGCAAGACTTAAGTCGTGAAGCAGGAGGTGTTAAAGAAAAAGTACCTTCCACATCTCCAGAGAATGAAGTTGAAGATGATGAAGACGATGAAGATGAAGAAGAAGTTATTGAAGAGAATGACGAGGGTGCGGAGGCGGAAGGTGGCGAAAAAACAAGATCAGAAGGGCAGGGTGATCAAGAAGTAACAATTGCACTACACCAAAATTCCGGAGAAAAGAATTTAAGTGGCAGCGAGCAGCGAACACACCAGTCAATTGTATCTGAAGGAGAAATTCCTCCTCCCGGCAGTCGGGAATCAAAAGCCATTCCTACGCAAACGGAAGTTGAAGAAAAGAAGGAAACCGACAAAAGTGCACCCGCAGCAGAGAACACACCCACACCAGTTAATGGAGAGAACACACTGCCTGCGGGAGTTCCGGGAGGAAATCCTTCATCACCTCCAGAAGACGGTGTTGATTCCCGCGAACAGGATGGCGAATTCACCACGAGTGAAGGTTAAAAAACGTTCCGCCGCCTGAGACCGCCGCCACATCACAAAGCCACCGAGACAAAGGCTCACAAGAGACTGGGAAAGATACAAATGCAACGACAGTAACTGCCAATACAACTGATACGACGAACACACAGAACAGTGACAGCAGCACTGCGGCCTCCCACACCACCTCCCCTCTTTTGCTTCTTCTTGTTGTTGCGTGTGCGGCTGCTGCTGCGGTGGTGGTCGCGTGAGAGTGAGTGTGAGAGAGCCATGCACCGCCCGCACACACACTCGTCCTTCTCTCTCTGTGTGTGTGTCCCCTTGCATGGACTCTCGCCCTCACCTCACCCCACGAGGCACACACAATAATGTGCCCATTGTATATATGCATGCACACCCATGCAGGCCCGTTGGTGCTCTCTTTTGCACGACACGCACCGCTGCCGTCCTGCCTGGCTGCATGGGCGGAGCACCGTAACTGTTTCTGTTTTGTTTTTATTGCATTGAGTGGGCGACCTCTCTCTCTCTCCCTCTGTGTGTGTTTTTTGCTTTACGGGAGCAATGAGAGCGTGTGTGCGCTGGTCGTCCCACGCTTCGGCTTTTTTTCTCTTTTGCGTGTGTTGTGGTTGGGTGCTCTCATTTTACTTTCATTGATTGGTTTTCTTCTTAAAGTGCGGATGGCTGAATTTTCCCTTTTGTATTCTCCTGTTCTTTGTTTCTTCCCACGCAATCGGTCCTTGTTGCTTCAGCGAGCCACGAAATATTTGCCTAACACCCACATCAATGGTTTACTTGCTCTACACCCCACATTAGTTTGAGACGCTGGTGCTGCTGCATGTGATGATGTTTGTGGTGTGATTGCCGGCGGGTGCTTTGCTGTCACTTTGGCGTACCCTCGATTTGTTGAATATGTGATGCGTGCCGACAGCACGAATTGGATCCGCGTTGTTGGGAGGGACGCACCCTTTTTGAGCGGTGAGTGCGGTGTAGCCGTACACCGTCATTGGGAGGGATGACTGGGCGCCCATCCGCATCAACGTACCTGCGAGGAACCTGGATGCTACCGGGAAGTATTGCATCTCAGAGAGGTACTACGCAATGAATTCATTGAATGGCAATTGCGAGTGTGAAGGTGACTTTGTGTCCTCTGCACACGGGATCATTCTCGAGAATGAAGTTGTCCTTGCTGCTTTCAACCCGCATGCGGATCGTCTGCTCGTGCAGCCACTGGAGGGTCCTTTGATTGTGCCCCCATTTGCCACGGGCAGCGTTTGCATTCGGTTTACGGTGCGTGCTGGGCATTGTTCCACTGGTGTAGCCAATGCTGACATGGTGTGCGTGGCAGAGCGCTGTCGGTGGTGGTGCACTCGACGACTGCCGTGATGGCTGCGAGGAGCCCCGCGACAGCGACGACATTGATGGCATGGAGCTGCAGGATGGCGATGGTGACGGGAGGACGCTGGAGTCGCACTGGTCGCAGCGCCACGCGAAGGATGAGTGGATGGCACCGATTGGTTGTGCCGTCTGCCGCACGGAGCTGACGCTGGCCGCACCGGCTGACCTGGGCTGCATGAGGGTGAGGTGGGAGATGGCGGAGCCGATGCGCTGGTGAAGGAATTCGTGCTGTGCGCTGCTGCGGAGGAAGTGCTCCGCACCGAACATGAGTGAATATTCCCAGATGTTCTCAAAAGCGGGAGTTCATGCCAGTCGCTGCGCGTTGGATCGGTATTCGAGTGGTTGGTGTGTAGACGAATTATCCATGAAGGGCCAGCAAAACGCCCGATGGACAGTTGCCCCATCATTGGTCCCGCACTGGATGTGAGATATGCTGCCGCTGTTATTTGGAGGGGAGAATATTTGTCTGCGGTGCCTGGGGACAAGCCCTCTTCGTGGTGTCTGGACACGCCTCCCACCAACACGACGGATGCGAGGAACCGGGAAGAAACATACATCTCGGTGCTGCCATGCATGCGGCATTGCGGTGCCTCGGCATGCGGGTGCGTCTGAGAGTGACTGAAGAGGGTAACGCCCGCTGTGCCCCATGCACGGCCGAGGCGACGATTACGTGGGTTGCTCCGCCATACGACGAGGGAAAAGCGTTATTTTCCGTGACCACACGCAGGTGTGCACGATATCCGCCACCAGCGGCAGCCTGCTTCCAGTGGTCCGTGGGACGGCGATGTGAGAGGGTGTGGAGTAGGACGGTTTCACTGGCATCTACTGAACAAGCTTTGCTACGGGCATCCGTCCCCGATCCAGAGAGCATTGGGACCGGCCGTGGCACACCACCGAAGTATGTGGACACGGCTGCTCACCAGAAGCATCTGTCGCCAGAGGAGAAGGAGGTCGCCTCCGGTGCCACGACGGCAACGGAGTGCGCTTGCCCAGCGACACCGCGGGTGCGCCGCAGGAGGCGGAGAAGAAGCGCGATCTTCCGGACATCGATGATGTGGCCACCGATGGTGTGACGTCTGTTGTCGGACAATCATTAGCGGATGAGGCCGCCAGCGACAAGGCCGGTGGCGGTGCCACAGCCACGGGACCCAAGGGCCCTGATGCCGCTGATGCCGCGCAGGGCGCTGTGGACCCTCCGCCGAGGGAGGATGAAGCGGCGGTGGGGCGCGGGGGTTGGGAGGCAGACATGAAGGACGCCCCGCCCCGATCCACGGCAGTAACACTGCGGCTGCTGCTTGTCCCTTTCCGCTGCTTCTTCTGCTTGCCGCTGCCGCCGCGGTGCCAACACTCAGCAGTGGGTGCAAGAGAGAGAGGCCTATATCAACTGGCATGTTCCTGTCAGTATATAAATACACTCTGCTTTTCTGTATACTTTGTACCAGGGACATGCTGTATGCACTCTCCCTCTTTTGTATTTTTTGCTAATGTGGCGGCACCACGCGTGCATTATGGGTTGGGATAAGAAATTGTTTGACTTCTTCTGGAGGATACTGTGCTGTGTTTGTGTGCGTGTACGAGGGATCTGTGTGGTTTTGATTTCCCTATTTTTATTTACCTGCTTTGGCATTGTGTAATGATACTTCCCTTCTCCATTAAGTGTGTTCTGAGGTGTTGCTAGGGCACCGGGAGTGGATGCCTGTGGACGCACACCGTGCATTATGCGCTACATTGGTGGGAGGGGAGACTGACATAACTGGCGGGATTCAGTAAGGCGCATTTTTGCCCACGGACCCTGCAGCCGCAGCAGCCTGAGTGGCGCTTTGCATATGGACGTGTGGATTGTTTCTCTCTTGCGAGGTCTTTTTTACTGCGTGTCATTCTCCGCTCGGGTACCGTGCCCGTGGCAGCAGCGGCGGCATCAAAAGGGCTGTGTGCGTTTGGAGAGTCCTTGATTGAGTGCCTGTCTTACTTCTCTGTTCTGTTGATTGATTGTACCGTGTGCAGGCCAAACGGTCGGCATGACGTTCTTCTGACGGCGGGGTCCACGTGAGACGATGTTGCGTCGCGTGCTTTGTTGCGGGTTTGTGATTTCAGCAACGGTTTTTGGGCGGTTGACTGTTGGGCCGTTGAGGGCGGCGTGGCGACGGGTGCGGATGGACCCGATTGTGTGCCGTGGCTGCTCGTGCGGGGGAGCCGCGGGAAGGAAGGCAGCGGAGCGATGGACTCACGAGGAGTGCGGTAGCGTGCAGCCATGAAGATTGGCGACAGGGAACTCACTGCCGCTGTGAGTTGCCGTGTGTGGTGTTTGTTTCTGTTATTAG